GTGAAAAAACTAGTTAAATAATTTCTCAATGAATGCGGTTCCAAATTGTTCTATTGGATTCTGTATTGTTGCAGTCTTGGTCTTGGATTTTTTTAGCATAAATTTTATGCCTCTTTTTTTAACACTTGCTCTCATCCCTATGTCAGCATAACATGTAATAAGTGGCTCAATCAGATTTTGAAAAGGATTTATCATAAACAGTCCTTATTGGCTCAGCTTCCGATACTTGCTAAGGACAAGAAAGGGGAAGTGCAGCTTAACAGCATGCGGAAAATTAATGTAACGCGCACTGAGAGAACAGCTGTTTTCATAGGTTTTCTCTCTGCTGGCGTGGGTAATCATGTTTCCTTCTTGAGCTTCCTCTTCCCCTTCGCATTCTTGTTCCCCCTCTCTTCCCCCTTCCCCGTCTCCCTTTCCGCCCGCTTTTTTCCTAGAAAAAATACTTCTCGTGTAATTACATTTTTTCTAGCTCCCAGGAAAAAAGACAAATTTTAATGCTGTTTGGAATTTGATCAAGAGCTACAAGGGCGGATATTCACATTTGATTCTTGCTATTCCGGCCACCATTCTTCGTGGATTTTTCTTCCTTCTTGTCTGCTTTGAAGTATCGTCGGTGCTTGAGGTTTGTCAATTTTTATTTTTACCTCATGCTGCCGCGGTATTACATTTTTTTTAATTATATACAGTAAAAACATCCTTTTTGCCGCATGATAGCGTCGAAATGAAAGTCAAGTAAACTCCTTTGTATCCTGTTTGCTTTGAAAGGCGAGTATTCTAGAAAAAATATCTCATGAACCAGAGTGGTTCTGACAACTGGAGCATTTGCATGCGGAAATTACAAAATAAAAAAATTGCTGAAATTTCAAAAAAATACGAAAAAGATTGAAAAGTTAGTGAAGTTTTCTTCCGCTCAAGATGCGGAAATTAAAAAACATTAAAATTTTTAAATAAAAAAGAAGAATCTCGACTTTTTTGTCGTGGAAAGAATGCTTGTTTTTGCCGAGCTGTTGCTAGATACAATAACAATTCCAGATAGCACTTGCTTCAAATGAAGAAGTGGCCCAGCAAGTGTTTATTACTGCAGCAGTCTATACAGCGCTGATTATCATCAAAACAATGTTCGAGGCTGTTGGGGTAATTTTTGCAGTGTTTCCTCCCAAAAATAAAACCACAGATTTAAGGCGCTACTGTTGAGTTTCATCTTGAATTCAGCAGATCTCAAAAAAAGACGATGATGGAAAAATCCATGTGTACGTATGTATGTGCGTTTGTGTTTTTGCTTGAAAGTGCGTGTATATGTATGCTTTTATCGATTGAGTTTTTCCTGGTGTAAAAACACGGAGGGCAGAAATGTCATTTTAAGAGACTATAAATCTTAAATCGTTATGCGGAAGGCCGAGGGTTCGTCACTCCATCTACAATTCGTTCATTCATTTTGATGGTAAATTTATACTGACGCATGCCAGGAATTCAAAAGTGCTATCAGCTTGATTGTACGAAACCTTCAAACTAGAAACTATTGTAAGCCTTGTCAGCGAATGTTTGCTCTTGGCGTTTATTACCCTCGGAATATATTCGTATGCCTCTGCCTCCTATGCTGGAAGGATTTGGAATTTTTTGACTTTTACAAAAATGAGCGCTTTACCTTATTTTGTGTCTTAATATCTGGCTTCGATTCTGCCTGTCTTTCGACACGTTGTTTTTCATGTATTTCGAAATTTTCATTTTTCAGAAAAATGAAAACTTTCTTTTTCTTCTAAAGAATAGGCAAAGTTTTTACCGAAAAGTTACTTTAGACCATAATTTTGCTACTTTGCAGCGTCTATTTATTGCACTGTACGGACATGGCTTTTGTGGTTACATGCGCAGCGAAATGTTTCGTCGGGTACTGAGACATGGCGCAGCTTACTTTGATGAAGAAGTCAATACACCAGGACGCCTGGCCCATAAACTCATTTCCGATACAACTACTCTAAACAGGGTAAGTTTACTTATTGAAATAAACAATTCTAAATGCAAACCTGCGCACAGTTTTAAGCCAGGGACGCAAATTATTGCTACAGGCGGACACATTACCCCTTTGATCGTCCATCACTAATTTGCTGAACTCCAGTGAAGTGCTTTAACATCTCTTTGCGTACGAATTCCTCTTTTGCAAGCAAT